CCCCCTGCCACCCCCTAGCTACGCCACTGAGTACATCATAGTATATGGAGAGCTCTTCCATCCTGAGGGTTGCAAAATAACTCTACTGACAACTGACATTTTGTTTTAAGAGTCACCAAAAGGGGAGATAACAAGTTAATAATATAAAGACATTAAATTAAGGCCACTGGTTTTTTAATTTTAATTAAGGAGGAAAAGATATAAGATTAGAGTTTGCACCTGTCCTATGCAACATGAGTATGCCAAGCCAGTCTACGTAGTGTATGAAGCTATACTTTGTCTATATACTTATCATAGGCTTGGAAATATAATAATGTAAAAATAATGAATTTTAAATAATGTTGTTTGTACCTTAGGCTTTAGGGGGCAAAATTAAAGTTATTGAAGGCCGCTTTAGAATTTTCACCTGTTTTCTTTATTCTCAGGAGACATTACTTTTGAGGCTATATATCTAAAGCCCTAAAGTGACATTTGACGTCAGAATGAAGAAGGTAATAAGGAAAAAACGCCCTCCCCCTCTGGACAGACACTGGGCTTGGATGATAGTTTTAGGTATGAACAGAGCTTTCATGTTTTTTGTAACTAAAATGTGTCAGAATTTTAAGAAATGCTCCTTATAATGGAAGGAAAACTTACCTGTTTAGTGTTAAGAATAGATTTTGAATGGCTCATGAGAAATGATAGTGCATACAATTCACCCATTCAAAAAGTCCAGCTGCAAACCAGCAACGAATCAATGGTTTTCACTCATTTCATTTAAAAACACATAATCAACAAGATAAATGCAATAAGTTTTAATCATGAATGTAAAACATTTTTTTTTTTAAATCACCTCTTTGGTGCTTCTTGTAAATTCTCTTCAGGTGTTTTCATCTTAACCTTCTTCATGATTGGGCTTGGCAAGTCTTTCGGTCTCTTCTTGGTGAAGTTCCAAAATAAATTTGGTGCGTCCACGGTATTAGCTACCATGCCCATGAGTGTAGCAGCTTTCACTGGTGCCCTGGGCGGTAAGTGTCTTCCCACAACTGAGAATTCGTTGCCGGGCATTAAGGCAGTGGCCTGAGGTCTTGGCTCATATATGTAGAATCTAGAGTCACTTTTAGACTCCTAAAAGATTAGACGCACCTGGCATTTAAAATCTACTTTTGAAAAGCGGTTTTTATTTATTAGCAATATATTCTTTAATTAAGGCATTTCAAATATTATGTTATCTGCAAATGTATCTTAAACTGCTGCTTTAGAAAATATTATAGATGTTTAAAAAAAAAAAAAAGCCATTTCAATTCTTACATTTTTGTAAGATATATTTTCAACCACTGCATTAGAGAATAGTATCGAAATTTTTGTATTTTTAAATCTCATGTTAATGTAAAATATATTTTCGATTATTGCATTAGAAAATGTCTTGAAATTTCTTAATTGTTAATTCTTTATGCTATTGTAAGATGTATCTTAAAACCTGAATTTTGGATTTTTTAATGAAGAGATCGTTTGAGATTTTAAATTTACTTTAAAAAAAAAAATGTGAACATCTTTTCTGAAATTAGGTTAACATTTCTGGCTTACAAAAATAATCAGTCGATTTTTTAAACAGTGAATTGTTTTATGTGAAATACACAAATCATTCTAATAATAAATTAGTGAACATAACCAGCTTCATTAATCTAGATTCCACTGTTGTATTTTGTATGAAACCGCTTTTCTTTACTTATTGATTTGCTATAATGCTAGGGACTTCTCGCAATATTCCTCTGTTTTCCTATCATGCCATGGCTTTAGTTTTTTTACCAATACGAAAAGATCAATTAGAAAATACATATGCGGTTAATAAAATGTACCCATCCTAAACACTTTTTATATAGCTAATAACTGTACTGACTGTGTATCATTTTAAACTTTGACTGTTCTTTTCAGTCATGTTTTGTTTGTTTGGTTGTTGTGGAACTGTTTTCATTTAGATGTACCATGGGGCAACACGCTAACTGTCCGAATTCTGCTTGTGCAGAGAAATGAATGTTATGTTTGTAAAAGATGAGAAGTGATACCTAAAAATAAGATCTTTTTCGACCATCTCAAGGAGAGACAAAAATAATATCTTTTATGACTATCTCAAGGAGAGACAAAAAATAAGATCTTTTATGACTATCTCAAAGAGAGACAAAAATAAGATCTTTTATAACTATCTCAAGGAGAGACAAATAGGATCTTTTATGACTATTTCAAGGAGAGACAAATATAAGATCTTTTATGACTATCTCAAGGAGAGACAAAATAAGATCTTTTATGACTATCTCAAGGAGAGACAAAATAAGATCTTTTATGACTATCCCAAGGAGAGACAAAAAATAAGATCTTTTATGACTATCTCAAGGAGAGACAAAATAAGATCTTTTATGACTATCCCAAGGAGAGACTAAATAAGATCTTTTATGACTATCTCAAGGAGAGACAAAATAAGATCTTTTATGACTATCTCAAGGAGAGACAAAATAAGATCTTTTATGACTATCTCAAGGAGAGACAAAATAATATCTTTTATGACTATCTCAAGGAGAGACAAAAAATAATATCTTTTATGACTATCTCAAGGAGAGACAAAAATAAGATCTTTTATGACTATCCCAAGGAGGGACTTTGGAGATTTCAGCTGCCATCAGGTAACAACTACTTTATTTCGCCCGCTCTCAAGTTGTCAGACTTCCCAGGCGTTGACATCTCGTTTTAACTTCCTGTGATTTCTCTCTTCCCAGGAGTCTTCAATCTATGCCTTTTTTATGGTGGGCGTCGCCAAATCCTACGGTCTCTTCCTTTTGGCGTTTATTAAAAAGTTTGACGTGCCCACGGCCCAGCTGCATTGCCTATGAGCACCGCTGCATTTGTTTATGCTGTGGGGGGTAGGACCATCTTTATTTGATGCATGATTATTTCTAAAAGTGTTTATTCTATGGCAGCTTAAATATTTCCAGCTTTGGGAATTTTATGTGGAATTTGTCATCACCTGTAATAAATTTACTATGCTTTTAAAAAAAAAAAATCTAGTTTTAAATTTTGATGTAAAAGAGCCATACTTCGCTGATGTAGAATATTTTTATTATGCTTGCTTTACTAATAATTGCCTAGACTGAGAGTTGAGTTTTTCTTTCTTTTGATCTATTTAATTTTTTTTTTTAGTTTCCCCGGCGAAGCTGCTGATTTAAATTTGAGAATTTTGTTTAAAACTAGAAAAAAATTAAAAGAATATGTTGGTCTTACTGCTAAAAATAGTTCACAATTCATAGCAGTGTTTCCCAACCTTGTATATTCTTTGCACCCCGTACGAATTATTTGACTAATCTTGCACCCCCCTACAAAAGGAAATTTGCATTTAAAAATTTTAACATGTTGTACTTCTGATTTGTTTATTGAATTTCATAGAGAGCTTTAGAACTTAAAAATAAACTAGTGACTTAGAACATGAAGACATATTGAAAAAAGCTAGTGACTTCTGCTCTTAAATCCCTTTTCATTACACGCCCTAAAATGCCATCTTGCACCCCCCCCCCGGGCTGGGAGGCTTTGCTTTGAAGCTAGAAATTAGCAGAAATGAAACGTGTAATATAAATGTTGTCAAAATGACCTCAGCGCTCACTTAAAATATTTAGTTTAAAGATTATTCTTAGCCTAGGTTTAATTTCATGGTCACATATCAATATATTATATACTTTTAAAGCTTATTCTTAGCCTTCATTTAATATCATAGTCACATTACTAATTTAAATTTATTCTCAGGCCATTTTAAGCAGTATACACACATAAATTCATTATACAGTTGAAAACTTATTCTTTGTCTAGGTTTAATATAATTGTCATATTACTTACATAACAGGTTAACCTTGTTCTTTACATATCTACTTTTTCTCACTGACCTTTCTCAGCCCCAGCAGCACTTATCATTGGGGAGAGGTTCACGCCACAGAGAGTTGTCATCGTAGGGGCTACGGTTGCCCTTGTCGGCATCGCCTTGAGCAGCCTGCTGCTTGACATGTCCTACGTCATCATCTTCTTTGGCATCAGTTATGGTGAGGGTAGACAAATTTAAAAGATGAGTGAGTGGTGGACCGCCAGCTGGGAAGTTAGAGGACCACCGACTGGGTAGTTAGAGGAGCACAAACTGGGTAATTAGAGGACCACCAGCTGGGTAGTTAGAGGACCACCGGAATGGGTAGTGGACCACCAACAGGGTAGTTAGAGGACCATCCACTGGGTATTTAGAGGACAACTAACTGGGTAGTGGATGAATTATTGCCTCCTGCACACTGCCTGGGTAGTTGAAAGCTAAATTACTATCTTGCATAGAGAATGACATATCACTACTTAGATATTTTAGCCCATTACAAATATATTTAATCATGGTAATAACCTGGTTAGTTGACACCATGCTCTGGTAACAACCTGTTAAGATGCCAAGGATCTCTCGTGACACCCTGAATAGATGCGAACATCTGGTAACAACCTTTTTAAATGACAAGAATCTCTGCTGACACCCTGATTAGATGACAAAAATCACTGGTGGCAACCCGTTTAGATCACAGGAATCTCTTTTGACACCCTGATTAGATGACACAATGAACTGGTGTCAACCTGATTAAGTAACCTGGTGACAGCATGACATGGAACACATTTAGAGCACAGTGAGACACACACAAAAAAACCCAACACTTCTGCTCAACCACGTAGACGAAATCTTGCCCTTGGATCAAAATAGGCAAGAACGAATGTGTGAGGCTGATGTAATGCGTAACTCTCCTTCACATTAATCCAAATAAAGCGCATAATCAGGGTTTCTCCCTGATAGTGTCTACTCACTGTTGAATACAGCCCTGGTCATCTTAGCTTGCAAGGGTTGAACAACATCATGTGCATAATGTAAAATATAACGACGACCTGATTAGATTGATTGGGATATGTTCTTGAAATGAAATATTTGTGTCTTCAAATTTCGCATATCTATTTCTTGTTTGCTAGGTGTCGGGAACTCCAGCTTCTATGGCAACGGTCTACTGATGATCGGAAAGTACTTTCGAAAATATAGGTCACTGGCCACTGGGATTGGACTGGCCGGAGCAAGTGTGGGGCAGTTCGTCATGCCGCCGGTCATAGAGTACCTCCTGGAGACGTATGGGTTGGGAGGAACTCTTCTGATCATATCTGCCATGTACTTCCACGCCTGCATCTCGGGGGCTTTGTTCCGACCGATAGAGCAGTATGGACCAGAGGAGAGGGTAGTCCCCAAGCAGTATGGACCAGAGGAGGTGGTAGTCCCCAACATTCCTGAGGAGACCCAGGTATGAAATGGACAAACTTGAAAAACTTGCCACAAAAACAGTTTCATCTCTTTTTCTACAATAAATCCATTTTGTCTCTTTTCTACAATAAACCCATTTTGTCTCTTTTCTACAATAAATCCATTTTGTCTCTTTTCTACAATAAATCCATGCTTTTTCTCATCCAGAATAAATCCATTTATGCCTCATCCACAATTAATCCATTTTGTCTCTTCTACAATAAATCCATTTTGTCTCTCATCCACAATAAATCCATTTTGTCTCTCTTCCACAATAAATCCATTTTGTCTCTCATCCACAATAAATCCATTTTGTCTATCATCTACAATAAATTCATTTTCTCTATAATCTACAATAAATCCATTTTGTCTATCATCTACAATAAATTCATTTTGTCTATCATCAAAAAATAAATCCATTCTGTCTCTCTTCTACAACAATTGGCGCATGGACTGAGCTCCACCACGACCGCCAAGCCTGCCACGGGGTGGAGGCGTCTGTTTGACTTCAGCGTCCTCCGCAGCTATTTGACTCTTCATTTCAGTCTTGTTTCGTTTCTCTGTTTCTTTGGCTTCTTTAACTTCATCCTGTTCCTGCCGGCCATCATTGCACAGAAAGGCATTGAAGGTTATGACAAGGCCATGCTGCTCTCCATCTGTGGAGTCGGTGACCTCATAGCCAGAATTGGGACTGGGATATTCGCAGACCTCAACCTCATAGCCAGGTACAAGATAAAAGCCATGGCTTGCCTGTTGAGTGGCGTCGACATTTTCATATTTTTGTTTGCTGATTCCTTCCCCTGGCTGGGATTTTATTCCTTTTTGTTCGGATTTCTCGGAGGCAGCTACGTCTGCTTGATGTCTGTTGTCATTGTGGACTTCGTTGGTCTCGCTCTGATGTCCAAGAACCTTGCTGTTATTCTCCTTATACAAGGAGTTGGGGCGTCGATTGGTCAGATATTCTTAGGTAAGAATTTATTGATAATATATATCAACGATTTTATACTTTTGAAAACGTAAAAAAAAAAAATACTTTCGTAATTATTTTCCATTAATTAAGTTAAATTCTAATTTTAGCAGTGGTTTATCTTTATTTGACATGTCAGTCAAAAAAAAATTACATCAGAAACTTTGATTTTTTTAATGAACTTAAAACATATAAGTACTTGCCTGCAAAATCATTATTTCTGGTCTGTGCAAATATTCATCACATCATTTTATTTAATATTTAACTTTCATACTTGAGTTTCATTCTGAAAACAGATTATGTTAATTATTTGACCATTTGTCACACTTCAAATTAAAAGGGGAGAATAAGCATGTTAATTTTATGCAACAATTATTACAGATTATCTGAATTTTTTTTTTTTTTTTGACAAGTAATAATCAAGAATATTTTAAAATCAAACTGTCTGAAAATGTGTAGAGCAATCACCAAATGGCAGCCAGGTTAAATATTCACTCTGTTGTCACACAGGTTGGATCAGGGATTTGTCTGGCTCCTTCAACATCGTCATCATCCTGTGTTCACTCAGCATGGCGTCTGGGGGCCTCTTACTGCTGGCGTACCCTTTTGTCAGAAGGCGGGAGGATGCCAGGCTGATGAGGGTCCAAGCAAAACATGACCCGAGTGTTTCAGCTCTGACATAGCAGGGAGGTTGTCGTGTGGCATACTAGGGACATCATCATGTGTCAGGTCTGACAACAGAGTGACACGGTCATGTATCAGCCCTGACATAGCTGTGACATCGTAAAATGTCGCATTGTGATTATGTGATGTCTTTGGGTCCATGAGATGAGTTGGTTCTTTACATTCTTCACCATTGATGCTGGGCCATTATAAAAAGTCCGGCAATGGTGGCAACATATGACAATGACCATGAACTTACAATCCTTTTAGTCCTAATTTTTGTTTGCAGCTCACTGCCTTCAGATACTGCTGACTAGATAAAACTGTGCTATTTACACTTTAATATACATGTATTGGAATGCCTCATTGTTTTATGTCATAATGAAGTTATACACCCATGGCAGTTGTACAGACTTTGTCAAATGGGATTTCAGTTCATCAATGTTACATGATACATGTTCACGCCCAGAAATCTGTTAGAATCATCATCATTATCATGTCCCTTAGTCCTTGGACCGTTGGGGCGCCACAGATGACATGTGAACCATCCTCCTCTATTCCTCTCTATCTTCAGCACTACGCACTGCATCGCCCAGTGTTAGTCCTGTCCACTCTTTGATGTTATCCTCCCATCTTTTTCTTTGTCTTCCTCTTCTTCTCCCTCATCTTGTGGTGCCCTGCAATATTTCTTTGGCAAGCGCGTGTTTCCTTGTTACGCGGCCGTACCATTGTTTGCGTTTTTTCACAGTCACCAGTAGGTCATCGTACAATTGCCTGACGAACCCTTTCATTCACTGTATCATTGGAGATATGGTCCCTATAGCAGATGCCAAAAAATGCTTCTGAAGAATCTCATCTCCATCGCCTTTATTTTCCTTTCAAGATATTAGAATATCGGTATGAAATATTTCTCTTCTACTCCCGTAATGATACATGTTAAACCAGTTTAATATTTATGTTGTTAACATGTAGACGTTGTAGTTTCGATGTTTTTATAGAATTTACAAGCAGAATCTAATGCTGTAATATTTTATGTATGATGCCATATTACTGACCTAGTTAACTGAGCTTAATTGTAAGTGTCTGTAACTCAGACAGGAGACATAAGCCGTTGTCAATAATTGTTTATCTCTATATAATTTAGGTGTTACCCAAACTCTCTTACAAGTGTCAATTTTTAAATGTCACTTTTAACTCCAAATTTGGTTACAATGCTTCTTTGGATGAAAATTTTTTACGTACAATTGTAACTTGTATTTATTTTGCTTCTACAAGCATTTGAAATCATTTTTATACTGGTTTAAACATAATACATTGTTCATTCCCTTACCTCAAATAATCTTATTGATATATTTTGTGATTGAGATTATCAATTAGATTTCAAATATGTTGTGAAATACAATCTATAGATTACTTATATAGATCTACCATTTTTTAAATATAAATTGATAGCTACCCCAAGTCGGGCACATGACCGACACATGACAGGCACATGACCGACACATTACATTTTCATGATTAAGTGTCCCTGAAGACTTTTAGTGATACATCTTAGTTATCTCTGTAGTAATCATAGTTGTGTCGCTGCGTGTTCTCTTTCACAATTGATATTCTTTGTATCAAAAGTTGGATTTGATTACATCAGCTCGAACCCCCCCCCAGAAATTTCTGACAATATAAATATGTTGCTTACATATTGAGAGACCTCGTGGTAATGTACAAACATTTAAGATTCGTGATTGTTTTTCTTTATTTCTTGATATAGACTTAAAAAAAAAATTACATCATCATTTTAAGATAACTATTATTTAACTTTGAAACTGAACTCAGTTTCTTGAAAATACTTTGACACTTTTGAGCTCAGGTGAATACTTTGAGTAACTGTTCTCATCTTCAATCAATTAATATATTTTGTACATAATAACAGTTTGTTATAAAAATCTTTTCTTTAATGAAAAGGTTTATTCTTTGAGTTTCTTGTAGAGACGACAAGATAAAATATATTTTACATTATAATAAATAGATTACAGTAAATATATTATTTTACATTATAAACTATATATAGATTACAGTAAATATATTTTTTATGAGGTCACAAGATATTTATTTTTAAAGCTGGTCTTGTATAAGAAATTCTATTTTTAGATGTCGCTTTGCCTGATTTTTGTATCTGTTAACAATTGACTCTTTCCCACCGTTCTGTTTGTTAACAACCGGCACTCTCCCAGTGTTCAATTTGTTGTTGTCTTGTGTGATAAATAATGCACTCCTTGACCATCTCACAACTTGCTGAGTTAACAGGTGATCAAAAGAAGACATTTACAGGATGGGACCAACACAAAGACTGCTGCTTTAAAACCCAAAGTGTCATACCCGACATTTGAGGCTAAAGAAAAGTTGAAAGTCCAACTATTAAAAGTTTTTGACCAACTTACTTTAACAGAGGTGAATCTTCCCCCTCAAGTTGACAGCCTCTTTTGTCCAGACTGATGCTTTCAAAATGGCCGATGTGCCCTTGAACCTGGATCATTTTTAAAAGTTGCTTAACATAAACATTTGGGTTTAAAATAAAAGTTTCTGCTATGTTGTTTTGTTTTTACATTTTTGCCGGTGTCGCCTGTAACAGGATATAACCTTCATATGTATTACTTTTTTTGATTTTCACATCTTGTGGGGATTATGATAGTTCTGTGATAGCTGTGTAGCTATTACTTCTCTTTACAGGCATTAGTTCATCCAAGGGAGGTAATTCATTTACAGTGACAACCATTTTTATTTTTTTAAAAATTGTTTCTTTTCGTTATCGATCAGGTTACTGTCAGGTTACTGTGCCCTTGTCTCCCCCCCCCCCCCCCCNCCCCCCCCATGGATATTAACACACTGAACCAATGATGGATGTAAATTTTATATTGTTCCTTTTCTCTTAAATACTTTTTTTTTTTTTACGTAGACTTTTTTAATGAAGCCTTTACACCTATGCTCTTTATTACTACATTTAGATTCACTGGTGAGAGTCCCTTTGAGTGCGCCATGTTTACCATTGGCAAGTCTTTTAGATGAAAATATAAATGATCCCGGCTGTGCATAAATCTAATGAAAGCAATGTCACACAATGAATCCACTGTCACAAAATGAATCCGCTGTCACAAAATAAATTCAATGTCACAAAATTGAATCTCATATGAATTGTTTTTTCTTAAATTAAAACTAAATGAGATGTGTTCCAATGCCAGCTCCGATCCTCTGTAGTCCGTTCAGTCAAGTTTGTCACACGTCTTAATTCGTCCATTGAAATCAATCAAGACCATTATAATCATCAGATATTGGCTTGATCTGATTCTTTCTGTCTGTGCGCAGGGGGCTGATGAGACCCACTCTGGCACGGCGGCATGTCACATATAAGAATGTGTCAAAATTGTGTTTTTAGATAACATTTTAATGTTACTTGCAACTGTTTATGTTTGTAAAAATGTTACGCTTGTTCATGTTAAATCTCGGGATTTTAAAAGAAAAAATAATCATACAATTATATCTGCCTCTGCCTTTCGGAAATGTAGAGCAGTTGACACAAAAATTAATATATTTCCAATCAAGGATAAGAGAGTCATTTGTTGTGCAACAGTTTTATCCAAGGGCCATTACTTGTTTTAAGGGGCCATAACTTTTGTATGGGTCATCATAAATTTGATTTCATTTTATTTATCTTAATTATTTTTTTTCGGCCTATAAATAATATAGAAAATGTATGTCGTTTTTGTGTGTGTGTCTTATTTAAACCAAAAAAAAAAAGAAAAGTTCCAGGAAAATTGAATTTAGTCCGACATATTTTCATCCAAAAAATTAAGAAATTAAAAATAAATAAAGTTATTTATTTTGTTTTGTTTCTTACCTGAATATTAGGTTGATGTTTTTTAAGGTGTTTAAGTGAGGCTGGTTTACATAAGTACAACTGTCTTAAAAGGATTGGTTGGCAGAACATATTGTCTTAAGTACAACTGTCTTAAAAGGATTGGTTGGCAGAACATATTGTCTTAAGTACAACTGTCTTAAAAGGATTGGTTGGCAGAACATATTGTCTTAAGTACAACTGTCTTAAAAGGATTGGTTGGCAGAACATAATATGGTTTACATTATGTCCTGCATATTCACACAACAGCCATCCTAATCGAATGCATCTCAATGTACTTACGGGTACACACTACCTATATGCCCGGCCAGTGCATCTTAACCATAACCCAGTGGATCTTGATGTGGAAATAAATGGCTTCTTAGTGACGGGACGTTCCATATCCTTAGCTTAGGCGTTACCATCCACACCGCGATCCACACAGCTTTCAAAAAAAAAAAGGGCCATTACTAGGTCCAAGCTTATTTTGGGTTAAAAATGTATGTGTTTACAAGGAAACACGTCTTTTTAATGACAAGAAGTTTACGATGAAGACATTTCTTAACGATGCTAAAAATAGAACCAGATAGAAGCATGTCGCCATTTTTATTATGATCCCTAACCGTCCACGGCACAGCTTCCCGGTCTTCATGTCAGTGGTCCATTCAGTCCTTGTTCAATGCCACACACGCCCCATCCTCCAACTCCAAGCTGTACCATCACTTAGTCCTACCACCGATGTCCTACCCCCCCCCCCCATGTTCATCTCACATGTCTCACTCTCATGTCCTACTACCTCCATGTCCTACTGCCTCCCATGTCCTACTCGCATACCCCATCCCCCAACTCCAAGCTGTACCATCACTTAGTCCTACCACCCATGTCCTACCCCCCCCCCCCCATGTTCATCTCACATGTCTCACTCTCATGTCCTACTACCTCCATGTCCTACTGCCTCCCATGTCCTACTCGCATGTCCTATCTCCATGCCCACAGCTCTCTTCTTCTTTATTTTAAGGGCCCACGATCAATGGCTCCTATGTTTCAGAGGGGTTAGCGATGTTACTGTCCATG